GTAAGTTGCTCCATTCCTCCAAGGTAAACCGATTCAGCCGAGACCGCCCCAGGCAAATGAACCCCTTGAGAGAGCAGAGAACGAATGGCCGAATAAGCCCCAGGGCCCACCATGACAGGCATACAGACCTCTTTGTCAGGGTTCTGTGCAACCCCCCCCTGCTCCCGAAGTTCACGATCTAGGATAGGGTTCGAGGCGAGCACTCGAGACCTGGCCTCCAGCGGGTTCGGGCAAGTGAGTGGTATCGTCTGGTGTATGTCATCAGCGTGATCTCTGATAGCAACGTCGTGCATCTCACCCGTCAAGGCACAGGTCATCAGGCTCGTGGCGCGAACAAGAGGAACAGGCGCCAGCAGACGCTCATCTTGAAACTGAGTCGCATCTTGGTAGAGCTGATCTCTCCACGACTCGGCAGGCCTCAAGAAACTGCGCACACAGAGCTCACATGCATTCCCATCCCCCATCCCAGATCCATGTGTAGGCTGAAAGTATCCAACTTGCTCCCCCGCCCGTATTTCCACCACCGCCTCTGTGTGACGCTGATGTAGCAGCGCTCTATCCTGCGGGCGAGGTATGACATCCATCACCGTCTCCTGCAAAGCAACGTGCGAAGTCGAGGGGAACGCATTCGACATGTCTTTCTTGACAAGCAGGTGTGAGATGCCTAACTTCTTCAACCTCCAGCTGTGAACCTTGGCCACGAGTTGTGCATTTTGACGCGTGCGGTGCGCAGCGTGCCCATGTGCATGCGGGGGGAGAGGAGGTCTATGATGTCTGAGGTACATGCCACGATACCACGCCTTCGCAAACGGGCAATAGAAATGGATCAGTCTCATGACTTTCGTGTTCTTCCGCTCGTTCCCCTTCGACAACTGAAATGTTTGAATCCAGCGCCACCGGTGGGGCGTGCGAGTCTTACTTTTGATCTGGCGAAACAATCTGCGGAGGCGCTGCGTGAAACAGGGGCGCTCCACGCGCCGACGGAGCTGCGCCCCCTCGAGCGCACGCTCACTAAAATGCTCGGTGTGGGGCCACACCCCAGTGAAGTCACGCGTAGCATGCAACGTGAGCCAGTGCCAGAGTTCCGCCGGCACCGAATGATCTGGCGCATACCTGCGTCGAGCAGCACGTCGAAGCTGATCGAGAGTGCGAAACCAGTCATCATGTGCCAACGAAGCTGGCGCGCCCTCGTAGTAGTCGAGGCCTTCGTCTTCCAGCCTCCGAAGCTCCCCTGCCGCCGCCTCTGCTGGGGCGTGAAGCACCTTGGCGCTGAGGCCGCCCTCTCTCGCCGCCGCCACCATGGTGAGCTCCCACTCCTGCAGGCTCGGCAGGTAGCAGTCGGGAACGTTGAAGCCCCGCTGTCGGGAACCTCGACATCTGGAACCAACTGCATATATAGTGCGCCACAGGTTCGTGGTGTCTCCGCGTTCCTGTTGTAGACAGGCCTCCTGCATGAGCTCCTCTATCCTCTCCAGGTCCAGCCTCTTCTTGAGCGCCTTGACGTCCTTCTCGATCTGTCGTATCTCGAGACGGTCGTCTTCGGCGCAGCAGGTCTTGCGAGCGCGTTTCCTCCTGGCCAGGGCCGCCTCCCTCTGCTGAAGGAGATGCGTGAGTGGTGAGTCTGCCCTCTGTTGAAGTGTCGCCTCTGGGAGAGCAGCCGATCGGATGTCCTGGACCAAAGATTCCCAAGCCGTGGACGGATCCAGTCTAGTGGTGTCCCGCTCCCAGGTGCCTCTGGAGTTCTCACAAAGTCGCTCAAGCTCACCCAAGATCTCCGTGCCATCTCCTCTACCCAGCTGTAACATACGCGAGAGATAGTCCCGACCCCATCGTGCTGCCGCAGGCGCCGATGGTGGGGCCTGCAGTTGGTAACGAGCTTGCCAAAGAACAGGGGCGTGGTCACGGGGGGCGCCAATCGGGTATGACTTGGAGCTCCTTCATTGCCTTGCGAAGGGTTCTGAAGCTCAGAGTGGCCGTAACAGCGTCCGCTGGGATCAGAATTTGATCAGGGGCGCTAGTATGTTCGGTACCAAAATACGTGGGTCCAACTGGAAAAAAAGATGTCGCTACTGCCATATCTTCCATCTCAAGAATACGCCATAATTCGATCGATGTTTCGTTCTCGATGGAGTTCGCCCAGGGCCCAACATGTCTATTGTCGTTGGTCGGCGTCGGTAACCCTTGCCCAACTCTGCGTAACCCAAGCTGGCAGTTACCGTCTAGTGCAACCACGACCAACGATCTCCTCTTGGCCTCTTGTATTGACTTGTGTAGCCACGATGCTAGATGACGGCAAGATTGCCTCCAATGATCTGCTTTCATGTTGTTCGCAGGCGGGAAGTAAGCTGCAATAGTCTTGATGTCAAATGTGCCAGAACGAACTCTGAGCAAGCCGCCTCTTCCAGCAAGGTTCTGCGGCGGGTATCTTAAGTCAACCACTTGTGTGCGACGAATGGATCTCTTTCTGATGAAGATGGCGCAGCCCGTCGATTTATTGGTGTGCCTGCCCTTCTCCCACCCGAACTCGAAGACGAGGTGGTTCCTCGTGTTGGACGTGGTGACAGGCTGCTGAAGTTTCCTTCTCTGAGTAGTGCCAGGGCACACGATGACGTCCACGAACGAGAGACTCTCCGAGATATCCTCTGCTCTCCATGCCTCCAGGAGGTGCAAGGGATTGTACAGAACAAGATTCAAAAGAGCGTTCCACATCAATCAAAGATTCATGTAAGAGTATCGGAAAAGGTGTGAATGTGAGTGTCGGGAACCCCCCCCCGATCCTCAGAGCGAGTCGGGGGCGACAGCGGGAGGGGGCGAAAAGGCCCTGGTGCCGCGGTCCTGGGCAAAGGGGCTAGGAGCAGGGAGGGAAGAGGAGGAGCGAGGAGGAGGAGGAGGAGGAGGAGCAGGAGGAGGAGGAGGAGGAGGAGGAGGAGGAGAAGAAGAAGGAGCGAGGAGGAGGAGGAGGAGGACGACGAGAGAGGAATAGAGGAGGAGGAGGAGGAGGACGACGACGAGAGAGGAATAGAGGAGGAGGAGGAGGAGGAGGAGGAGGAGGAGGAGGAGGAGGAGGAGGAGAGACCGTGCAGCAGCAGCAGGGGGGCTCCCCCCCACTGCCCAGAGGGCCGACATCGAGGAACGGCCTCCCGAATGAACCACACGCGCGTCTCGTCGGAGCTCCGGGGCCGCCGCGACGGGGGGGGGGGAGAGCGGCCCCGCTGCCCGCCCCCCTTCCGCCGGCCGCCCCTCGATGGACAACCCCAGAGTGAGGTCGGGCATCTCCTCCTGCAAGGGGGGGGGTCGACCCTGCAGGGGGATTTCCGACGACACATTCAGAATGGGCAAAAAAAGTAACCCCAAACAAGCGTCTCCAGACTACTTTTTGGCTACTTTGGAATACTCCTCCTATAGAGGGACATGCCCGACTTGACCCTAAAGCGGGGGGGAACAGCTCAAGGGCGCCAAACTTCACGCTCTCGCGCTGCGCGAAGCGCGAAGCGCGATTGTGCGGGACGGGAAAATGACCACAGCCACTGCTTCTTGTTTGCGCCGCCTTCCAGCCGGCCGAAAAAGAAGCAGTGGTTGTGGTCATTTCCCTTGTGCCAAGCGTAACGAAAAATGACCACAACCACTGCTTTGTTTCTGCTGGCTGGAAGGCGGCAACAAAAGAAAACCAGTGGCTGTGGTCGGTTTCACGCCCCGTAGATTAACTTCGCACCCTCGCGCCGCCCCCCCGAAGAGACGAGGAGGATGGAGAGGAATCGGAGCCCAACCGCGAAGCGCGAACCATTTCGCGCCCTCGATGGGCGCCCTGGCAGCTCAGGGGGGAACCCCTCGACCTTCGAACCGGCGATGCACCGCCAACAGACGAGCCCCTGGTGGCGAAGCCTGACGGTCCGCGGGGTGGGCCGGGGGGCTCCCCTCGGCGACCAGTGGGTCATAACCCCGTTTTAGACAGTCGCAGGGCTCACTCATGGGCCTCCAAGGGCCAGAGTCAATGAAACCCTCCCATGCGAAGCAATGATGGAGTCGGCCCATGTCATAAGGATGCGCGATGATGATGCAAGGGCCGTGGACGCCCACGTCGCGGAGGCAAGGATGCACCGCGGAGGCATGGATGCAAAGGTACCGTTGGGAAGGTTGCCCATCCTTACTATCCCGTTTTCTGGTCATAACTCGGCTCTCCAGCGGCCCTTTGGGACGATCCGGGCACCCCCCGGAACGCTCTCGGCGAGGCGCAGCCGCTGGAACGCACCCCGAGGCTGGAAAGCTGCCGGGCACCAACGAACACGTCAGAAAGCCTCGAACCTCGAAGCTTATCACCACCTAGCGTTGCTGTTGACGGAGGGACGCATATCATTCGCCTGTTGATGGAGGTCGGACTTCTGGGGGTCAGAGCCAGCGAAGAGCAATCCACATAACAAAAATATGTTCTGAGGAACATGCGGGCCTGGGCGAAGAATCCTCAAAGGAATTGCCAAGAACAAACATTGTGGAACACACATTGTTTGAGACAGTGCAGCAGCATCCAGCAAATCTAGCTGACCTGGTCCTGACCCCCCAAAAACTCCCCCCCCCCTAGCAGGCGAAGGAGCACCCCTCCCTTGCGCCTACAGTCAAACTTGATAGCAACGCCGCGCGATGAGGACGCAGGCCCCTGGACGCCCACGTCGAAGCCTCTTGAGTGGGGCCGGCCCTCGAAAGCGCTTTTCGGGGCGAGCCGGGGAGGCAAGAGTGCAAGGATAAACATAAAAACTCGGAGGTCCGCGCGGGTTTCTCGGATCCGCTCTGGACCCCCCTCCCTGGCGCGCGGAGCGCGCCAGGGGCGGCGCCGGAGGCGCCTCCAGGGGTCCCAAACGCCGATCCGAGAAACCCGCGCGGACCTCCGAGCTCTTATGTTTATGTCATTGCCTGTTCCCCCAGTATTGCCCCCCCAACGCTGCCCTGCTGAGCCCCCCCCTCGGCGGCGGCGGCGGCGGCCGCTCGCTTCTCTCCGGGGCGCGGGCCGCCCCACGCTCCCGCCGCGGTGGCGCAGCACGTCGCGCAGCGGCACGATGGGCACCCCGAGCCCTGGCACCAGCCTGTATGCGGGGAGGAGGCGCCGCGCTCGACAAGGGTCGTTCCCTCGGGGGGAAGGGCGAGGAAGAGGAAATGGAGGGGGAAGGACAGGCGGTCAAGTGGGAGGATGAGGAGGAGGAAAAGGACAATGCTGATGAGGGGAGGAGAGCACACGGCGGATGAGGAGGATGACGAGGATGAGAAGGACGACCGAAACCCAAACTACAGCATAATCAAACGAAGGACGAGGAGGAGGAGGAGGAGGAGGAGGAGGAGGAGGACGACGACGAAAGAGGAAACGAAGGGGGAAGAGGATGAGGGGAAGGAGGAGAACGAGAAGGAGGAGGAGGAGGAGGAGGAGGAGGAGGAGGACGAGGAGGAGGAGGAGCACTTTCCTAACACTTTCGGGCCGCCACGTCGTGGCTGCCCGCCGCGGCAGCGCGTCCCTCGCGCGTGTGCGGCGGGGCGGGCGCTCTTCCTGCGCCGCGCGGGCCCCCGCTCTCTGGCAACTCCCCTGGGTGCGCCCGCGTTCCCAGTGGGTTTCCCAGGGCGCGTGGCTCCGGGCGGGCACCCCGCGGGCGCGGGCCTGCGCCCCTCCGGGGGGGCTGCCGCTCAGGGGATGGGGCGGCCGCGGGCGCCCGCCTGCTGCGCCGCGCGCCCGTCCCCGTCCTGCCGCTGCGCCGCTCGGGGCCAGCGCAGCCGCGCGCTGGGCTTCTTCGCCTTCCGCGCGAAGCCCGCCAGGTCCGCCCAGCGCCGCTCCGCAGCCAGCTCCTCGCGTCGCTGCCGGGCGCAGGGGGGCGGCGGCCTGGCCTCCGAACGGGGCCTCTCGGCCGACGCCTGGCGCCGAGCCTGGGCGACGCGCTCCGCCGCCTTAGGCGGGTTGGCTGCCCCCGCCGCCTGCTCCGCGGCTGGCCCCAGCGTCTCGGCTCCGAGTCGGGCAGTGTTTGCTGGGGAGCAGCCTGCGCTCTCGGGGCCTCCGCCGCGGCACGCCGCCCCCGCTGGCTCAGGCGCGCGCGCAGCCGCGGGAAGCGCGCGCCCGTCGGCTCGCCTGCAGCTGGCCCTCCACCTTCTCGTAAAAGGCTTCGCGCTCGCGGGAGCGCTCCTCCTGGCGCTCGGCCTCTCTGCGCCGCAGCCGCGCCTGCTCCAGGCTCGCCGCCGCGGTCTCGGCCAGGGCCATCCCGCTCGGCCGGGCCATGTTGGCTCGCAATTTTCTGGGGTTCCGCCCGCGCAACCGCAGCCAGCCCCGGCCCCTGGGCCTCCGCCAGCGCCGCCGCGGCCAGCTCCTGCGCCTCCTCGTGGGTGTGTTCGGCCTCCGCCTGGCGCTCCGCCGCGGCCTCCCGCTCTGCGCCATGGGCCTGGGCTCGTCCTCGGCCCCTGCCGACTTCTCCGCTCCGCGCGCGGCCTCCGCCTGCTGTGCGGCGCGGGCCTCCTGCCGTAGCCATTCCAGCAGGTCTTGCCCTGGGCCTGGCGCGCGGGCGGCCGCCAACGTTTCTTGGTCCGCGCCCCCGCGCGCGCGTCGGACGGCGCCACGCTCCCACCAGGGCCGCCGCCAACCGTGGCCGCGCCCTCGGCCAGCGCCCTCGCCCAGGCTGCGGCCAGCCTCGTGGGCTGCCTGCCTCGGTGCTGCGCCGGCTCCCCGAAGCAGCGCATCAGGTGCTCCGCGACCCGCGCCCCCGCCCGGAGATACTGGGCCCTGCGAGCGGCCGCGGGGCGCAGCGGGTGCCGCCGCGGGCGCCACCAGTGCGCGGCGGCGGCCTCCGTGGCGTCGGGCCAGGTGCCTGGGAGGCGGGGGGAGGGAGCGGCGGCGCCCCAGCGGCGCCCTTGGCGCTTGCTGGCCTCGGACTCAGCGCTCTTGCCAACTGGCGCTGAAAGGGGAGGAGGAGCAGGAGGAGGAGGAGGAGGAGGAGGAAGAAGTGGAGGAGGCGGAGGAGGAGGAGAAAGAGGAGGAGGAGAAGGAGCGGAAGAGGAGATAAAGGAAACGACGAAGGAGCAGGAGGAGGAGACCAAGGACGAGGAAGAGGAAGAGGGGACGCAGGCCGAGGAGGATAACAACGAGGCGCAAGAAGAGAAGGAAGAGGTATACGACGACCAATGTAGCCCCAAAATGCACCAACGATGTTGCAACAAACTCTCCCTCCAAATCACCCCTTCTTAGGCCCCTTAATTCATGTATTGAACCGCGGGAGGTGACCCATTAGAAGCCAACCGTCGGATAATCCCAAATCGTGTCAAAACGCAGTTCCGGCGACGTCAACGCTGCGGACCAACGTGACCATTGCGTCCTGACGCATCTAAGTCGGGCCATGACACAGTTCAGCGGATTTCAACGGTTCAGCACCGCACCCTGCCAGTCCAAGATCTTGCCATAACACAATTCTTGGGACCCCGACTATACGAATCCTGTGAGATCCTGCCAACCGTTGAAGCGAGTGTGCGCGGCGTCGAAGCAAGACCCACATGTTGGAAACCACCCGCCCTCCATCCGTGAAACTGTGCTGCAATATTTCCAGACGATCGCGCACGGCTTGGAGTCGAGATCCACACTTGAAGACCACCCACACTCCACCCGTGGAGCTGTTGCACGCTTGTCAGATCCACATGTCGTAAACAACCCGCCGACCATCCTGCAAGCTTTCAAACCGGATGCGCGCCACGCTGCAGCGGGGACCGTCGTTTGAAAAGAACCCGACCTCCGTCTGTGAAGTTCATGGAAAGTTCAAAACGAGTGTGCGCGGAGCGAGGGTGAGACCGCATTTTGTAAACCACCGCCATCCATCCACGATGCGTTTAGGATCAAAGATGGCGTGATAGTGTCCGGCGAAGCGCCCGCCCCGCCCCACCAACTCGGCTGGATCTGCGATGGGAAGGTGTACATGGAAGGCGGATGGAGGAGGAGAGGGAGGGGATGATTATGAGAAAAAACGAAGGGAGAGAGGGATGATGAAGAAGAGGCGGAGGAGACAAGGCAGGAGGAGGAAAAGGAAGAGGAGGGAGAGACAGGGAAACGGAACGGGGCGGAGGAGAAGCAGCAGGAGGAGGGGAGGAATGAAAAGGAGGCAGAGAAAGACATATCGGGAAGGGGGAGGACAATGATAAGGAGAACGTGGACATGGAGGAGCCGAAGAACGGGGAGAAGAAGACGAAGGACGATGAGGACGATGAGGATGATGATGATGATGATGATGCTGATGATGCTGATGATGCTGATGATGCTGATGATGATGATGATGATGATGATGATGATGATGGTGATGATGGTGGGGAGAAGGAGGCTGGGGCGGGGGGGGGGAGAGGAGGACGGGTAGGAGGAGGAAACGAAGGACGCGGAGTGGAAACATAAAAACTACAGGAGGATGAGGACGAGAGGAGGAGGAGCAGGAGGAGGAGGTAGAGCAGGAGGAGGAAGTGGAAGAGGAGGAGGAAGAGGATGAGGATGACGAGGAGGATGGGGGGAGGAGGAGGAGGAGGAGGAGGAGAAGGAGGAGGAGGAGGAGGAGGACGAGGAGGACCGTTGTCAACCCAAGATTCATCAACGATGTTGGAATACACCTTGTCTAAACGCTCCCTCTTCACGGGCCCCTAGAAGGATTCATTGCCACTGAAGGAACTGCCTCGTTGGAAGGCAGCCGGTGGAAGTGTGCCAAACCATTATTCTCGGGACTCCACTGCCACGGATCAACTGGACTTTTTGCGCCCTGACGATCCTGAACCGTGCCAGAACGCCATTCCTAGGGCGTCCACAGCGCGAAGCAACGTAACTGCTGCATCACCACGACCCGGAATCGTCCATTTGTTCCATATTGTTCTGGCGCACTGATCATGGAAACGCGTGACACTCTTACACACGGTTCTGGAAGGACTGCGCGCGGCGCTAGGGCGAGAACCACAATTCGAAAACGAAGCGCCTTCAATCCGTGAAACTATTACACATCTTAGTAGTTTTTTAAAAAGAGCCTAATGTGCGCGGCGCTAAGGCGAGAGCCACATGTTGGAAAGGAACCGCCATAAGCATGTGTAAAACTTAAACTGTCTAAATGGATATGCGCGGCGCTAAAGCGAGAACCACATTTTGAAAACGGGCATCCCTCCATCTTTGAAGAAACTGTTGCCAATGATTACGTTTCAGAATCATGAATGCTGGGGAAATCTCAGGCGGAACACCCGGCCCACCCTTTCGACCTGCCTTGGGGAGCAACAGGAAGGCGATACTTATAAAGAAAAGGAATGGAGACGGACGACGAGTAGTGGGGGGGAGAGGAGGGGGGGGAGGAGGAGACGGATGGGGAGATGAGGAAGAGGGGAAGACGAGGAGGGGTACGAGGAGGAAGCGAAGGAGAAGGGGGGGGGTGGAGGCGGAGGGACGGAGGAGGGGAGGAGGAGGAGGAGGAGACGAAGGACGAGGGAAGGAGGAGGAGGAGGAGGAGGAGGAGGGAGGAGGAGGAGGAGAGGGGAGAAGGTGAAGGACAAGGAGGATAACGAGGAGAAGGCGGAGGTGTAGAGCGGAGGGCGGAGGAGAAGAAGGAGAAGGAGGAGAAGGAGGAGGAGGAGTGGGAGGAGAAGGAGGAGGAGGAGGAGGAGGAGGAGGAGGAGGAGGAGGAGGAGGAGGAGGAGGAGTAGACGCAGGACGGGGAGGAGACGAAGGACGGAGATGAGGAGGCGAAGGACGAAGGGGAGGAGGAGGAGGAGGAAGAGGAGGAGGAGGAGGAGGAGGACGACGAGGAGGAGGAGGAGGAGGAGGAGGAGGAGGAGGAGAAGTGAGGGAAAATGAGGAGGTGACGAACACGAATGACGGGCAGGAGAAAGAGACGAATGACAAGGGGGACGAGGAGGATGAGGAGAGGATGGGCAGAACACGGAGGACTAGGACGAGGGTGACCAGGAGGAAGAGGAAAAGGAAGAGGGGGAAAGCAGGAGGAAGAGAAGGAGCGCCCGCACCGCTGCATGGTCCACGGGCGCACCTAACCGCACAGGCGCGGGGCCGCTCAGAGCAGATTGTCGGGTGCGCGCAAACTGCGGCTGCTTGACGCGATGGGCCGCCACGCGTGCCATCGCCAATGCAATGGCTGGGGAAGCCGCTCGCCAAGCGAACTGGTGCTGGAGAGGGTTGTAGGCGTGGCGAAGAAGGCGGGGTGTGTGGCGGGGATGAGGGGGCGGAAGGAGCGGGGGATGAGGAGGGGGAGGAGGGGGATGAGGAGGCGGAGGAAGAGGAGGAGGAGGAGGCGGCGTAGGGGGAGGAGGACGGGATGAGGAGGCAGATGTGGAGGGGGGATGAGAAGGCAGAGGAGGCGGAGAAGGAAGAGGAGACAAAGGACGAGGAAGAGGAGGAAGAGGAAATGGAGGGGGAAGGACAGGAGGCCAAGGGGGAGGAGGAGGAGGAGGAGGAGGAGGAGGAGGAGGAGGAGGAGGAATGGTGATGATGAGGATGACGATGATGATGATGATGATGATGATGATGATGATGATGATGATGATGATGACGATGATGATGATGATGAGGAGGAGAAGGAGGAGGAGAATGACGAGGAGGAGGAAGGGGAGACGAAAGACCAGGAGGAGGTCGACCGGTGCGACCCCAAGACCCACGCTCGACATTGCAAGAAACTCTCCCTCCGAACTCCCTCTGCATGGGCCCCTATGAAAATTCATTTCCACTGAAAGGGATTGCCCGCTGGAAGGCAACCGTTTGAAAATACTGCACCGTGACAGAGCCCCACCCCTTGGACTTCAACGCCGCGAATCAACGTTACTGTCACGCCTTGACCATCCTGAGTCGTGCAATAACACCATTTCTGGGACTCCAACACCACGAATCAACGTAACTGTTCCGTCCTGACCGGCCACCATCGTTCCAAAACACCATGTCTGGGACGTGGACAACGAAAGTCTTCGACCATGCTGCAGCAACTCTTTACATGGATGTGCGAAACGCAAATGCGAGAACCGCATTTTGGAAACGAGCCGCCTCCCATCCATGAAGCTCTTGCAACTGTTCAACACGAGTGTGCGCGGCGCTACCGCGAGAACCACATCTTGAGAACGGCCCGCGCTCCATCCGTGAAGCCCTTGCAATGTATTAATACGAGCGTGGTCGGCGCTAACGCGGCAACCGCGTTTCGAAAACCATCAGCCGTCCACGCGTGCAGCTGCTGCAATGGGTTAAGACGAATGTGCACGGCGCTCGGGCGATAACCACTTTTTGAAAACGTCCCGCCCTCCATCCGTGAAGCTCTTGCAGACTATTAAAACGAATGTGCGCGGAACAAAATCGATAACCACATTTTGAAAACCATGCGCCCCCCACCCGCGAAAATTTTGCATGTTTGGAAGACAGATGCGCGCGACGCCAAGGCGTGAACCGCATGCTGAAAACCACCCGCCCTCCATCCGTGAAGCTCTTGCATGTAAAGAACTATAGGTGCGCGACGCCAAGGCGAGAACCACA